ACTTCTTCTCAATAACCAAAAGGCCCAGGGTACTGATATTGGGCCTGTAGCATGCTGGGATGAAGGACTATCAAGTTTGTTCAACTGAATGACCTTGACCAACTTTCAAGGTCACAGGGGTCAAATGTCGTAAAATCTTCAAGCGACTTCTTTTCAATAAGCAAAAGGGCCAGGGTACTGAAATTGGGCCTGTAGCATGCTGGGATGAAGGATTACCATGTTAGTTCAAATGAATGACCTTGATCCACTTTCAACCTAATGTCCTTGTTCGACAATCAAGGTCAGAGGCGTCATATGTTTAAATCTTTCAATAGGTTCTTATGAAATCTTAAGATTACAAGTGTTAGATTAATAACAGGTGAGCGATGCAGGCCCATTGGGCCTCTTGTTTACAGACCATAATGTTACATGGGCAGAACTTTTTAACTGACACAATTTTTTTTGTATTGAAACTTAAATTTGTTTGAATATTGTCTATTGTGATTTTGTTTCTGTTGACAGGTCCTCTGGCACGTGAGATGCTGCGTCTGTATGAAACTTTTAGTAGTGAAATAAAGTTCACAGAACTTGCCGACCCCTTGGAGACATGGGAACTACAGGAACTGGTGGGAGAGGGGACGTACGGGGTCGTCCATTCTGCCCGACACAAACAAACAGGTCAGTACAAATTAAAGGTGGGTGGGTGGGTGGGTGGTGGGCGGGGGCAAGTTTACTGCATTGGCATGGACCATTCTGCTTGTCAGAAAAAACACCAAGAATGGGGTAGGAAGACAACAAATACTAGGTAGTCATGGACTGTGAGTGAATGCTGCCAGTATAAAAACACAGGTTAGTCCAAACTAAAGGTAGGGAAACTGTAATTACTGGGTGTGCATGGACCATTCTGCCAGTATAAAAATACAGGTCAGTCCAAACTAAAGGTATGGAAACTATAAATCCTGGGTGGGCATGGACCATTCTGCCAGTATAAAAACACAGGCCAGTCCAATCTAAAGGTATGGAAACTATAAATACTGGGTAGTTGTGGACCATTCTGCCAGTATAAAAACAAAGGTCAGTATACAGTTTAAGTATGGGGTTGAGGGATATATCAAGTTTCTGGTGTCCCGAGACCAGTTATATTTCCCGAGGCGAAGCCGAGGGAAATAGGCATGGTCAAGGGACACCAGAAACTTGCTATATCCCTCAACCCCATACTTTAACCGTTTTATTATACCGATACACACTGCAGAGATAGTTTTAACTAGAAAATATTTGTAAACCATAAGCTGTATAGCTTCACGTCCCAACTTCCTCTTTATGGCAATGAAGCCAAATGCTTCCGAGTTCGATAACAAGCTCCGTCCACCTCATGCGTCGCTTCCGAGTTCAGTAGCAAGCTCCACCCACCTCGCACGTTGCTTCCGAGTTCGGTAACAAGCTCCGCCCACCTCTCGCCCGATTGGCTCGGCGGAAACACCCGAGTGTAGGTGTATTTTAGTTCCCAGACTAACACACAGGACTAAAACACAGTCAGGCAAAAGTGGGGATATATTCAATTTAACCAATTACTTTTATATAGAGTAAATAAAGTAGAGGTATAATAATTCTAACTAAAAGTAGGGAAACTATAAATTCTGGGTTGTTGTGGACCATTCTGCCAGTATAAAACACAGGTCAGTCCAAACTAAAGGCAGGGAAACTATAATATTGGGTAGTTGTGGACCATTCTGCCAGTATAAAACACATGTCAGTCCAAACTAAAGGCAGGGAAACTATAAATACTGGGTGGGCATGGACCATTCTGCCAGTATAAAAACACAGGTCAGTCCAAACTAAAGGTAGGGATACTATAATATACTCAGTAATTGTGGACCATTCTGCTAGTTTATTTTTTGTGTCTAGGATATCCTCAGAAAAAGGGGATTCAATTTTGTATAAACAGAGGGTGTTACCCCACCCCCCAAGGGGGCAGAGGGGTGGGGGCCAATTGGGGAAATTGAGATAAATCATTATTATTTTTTGTCTTCTGTACAAATAAAGGGATTTTAACCAAATTTTGTCTAAATGTCATTTGACAAGAGGAATTGAATTTTGCATAAATGAAGAGTGTAGTGTGTCTCCACTGAGGGCAGAGGAGAGGAGTCCACAAGGGAAAACATAGGGGGAAATGTTGAAAATTCCTCCTTCTGTATGAATGGAGGAATTTGAACCAAATTTGGTGTAGAGCATCATTTGGTAATTAAAGGCGACTCAATTTTGAATAAATGGAGGGAATTGCCCCTGGGGGCTAAGGAGTGAATCCCTAATAGGGGAAATTTAGTTAAATCATTTGAAACTCCTCTACTTCCTTACAAATGGAGGGATTTGAACCAAATTTAGTCAAGAAATCCTTGGGCAAGAGGAATTCACTTTTATATAAACGGAGCGTTTGGCTGCCCTTGGGGCTGAGGGTCGGGGCAAAAAAATGGGTTATTTTGCCATGTTGCTTAAAGCGACTTTTTTCTCTGGAACAAAGTGATGGATATCATCAATTTTTGGTTTGGAGCATTCTTCGGTTATTGAGGATTAAAAATTGTTCCAGTTGAAGGGCTGAACCCTAGGTCTGAGGGGTTGGGCCAAATAGAATGTTTAACTTGGACATTATGGAGACCCCCACCCTATAACCATGGAAACAATTGCTGAGCATCAAGAGAAAATCACAATTATGATATAAGAATTGACCCTTGAGTCTGGCCCCACCCCTAGGGACTTGATTTCTGAGCCATAACTTCGAAAAGGTAGAGATCCCCACCCCATTACCATATATACCATTGCTGGGCATCAGAAGACGAACACAATCTTGATATTAATATTGACCCTTGGGTCTGGTCCTTACCCCTAGGGACCTAAAATTCTGGACCATAATGTTAAAATGGTGGGGATCCTAAACCCATAGCCATATATACCATTGCAGGACATAAAGATCCAGGTGAGTGATACAGGCCCATTGGGTCTCTTGTTCCTTATCGCCAAAGAGCCAGGAATTGATCTGAAGACTTTTTTTTGAAGTCTCGCCAAATTACATGTAATCAGGATAGAATCAATAATTAACATGCATTGTACTGCCGTTATTAGTTTCCTTTGGGACATAAAATTGAGGCAAAGCAAACAATTGAATTTGTTGTTCAACTGTGTTATTGTAAAAATTGTTTCCTTTTTTAGCTCACCTGGCCCGTAGGCCAAGTGAGCTTATGGCATGGTGCGGCGTCCGTCGTACGTCCGTCGTACGTCCGTCGTACGTCCGCCTGGCATCCGTCAGGCGTCAACTTTTTACTTTAAACAACTTCTTCTGAATAACCAAGAGGCCTAGGATGATGATATTTGGCCAGTAACATGCTTGGATGAAGGGCTTCCAAGTTTGTTCAAATAAATGACCTTGTCTAATATTCAAGGTCACAGGGGTCAAATATGTTAAAATCTTTAAACAACTTCTTCTGAATAACCAAGAGGCCTAGGATGATGATATTTGGCCAGTAATATGCTTGGATGAAGGGCTTCCAAGTTTGTTCAAATAAATGACCTTGTCTAATATTCAAGGTCACAGGGGTCAAATATGTTAAAATCTTTAAACAACTTCTTCTGAATAACCAAGAGGCCTAGGATGATGATATTTGGCCAGTAATATGCTTGGATGAAGGGCTTCCAAGTTTGTTCAAATAAATGACCTTGCCTTATATTCAAGGTCACGGGGGTCAAATATGTTAAAAACATTTAAACAATTTCTTTTAAATAACCAAGAGGCCTAGGGTGATGATAGTTAGCCAGTAACATGCTGGGATGAAGGGCTACCAAGTTTGTTCAAATAAATGACCTTGACCTACTTTCAAGGTCACAGGGGTCAAATATGTTTAAAACCTTTAAACAACTTCTTCTGAATAACCGAGAGGCCTAGGATAATGCCAGTAACATACTGGGATGAAGGACTACCAAGTTCAAATGAATGACCTTGACATCTATATTTTAAGGTCACAGAGGTCAAATATGTTTAAAACCATTGAATGACTTCTTCTTAATAAGCAAAAGGCCAAGGGTGATGATATTTGGCCATTAACATGCTGGGATGAAGGACTATCAAGTGAATGACCTTCGCCCATATTCAAGGTCACAGTGGTTAATATATGTTTAAATCTTTAAATGATTTGTTCTGTATAACCAAAAGGTCCAGGGTAATGATATTTTTCCAGAAGCATGCTGGGTTGGAAGACTATAAACTCTGTTCAACCTAATATTATAATGTCCTTGTTCGACATTCAAGGTCNCGTGACTAAAGCTATCCCGTAGCTGTTTATTACATCTGTGACAAAAGCTAACCCGTAGCTGTTTATTACATCCGTGACTAAAGCTATCCCGTAGCTGTTTATTACAGCTGTGACAAAAGCTATCCCGTAGCTGTTTATTACAGCTGTGACAAAAGCTATCCCGTAGCTGTTTATTACATCCGTGACTAAAGCTATCCCATAGCTGTTTATTACATCCGTGACTAAAGCTATCCTGTAGCTGTCTATTACATTTGTGACCAAAGCTATCCCGTAGCTGTTTATTTCATCTGTGACAAAAGCTATCCCGTAGCTGTTTATTACATCCGTGACTAAAGCTATCCCATAGCTGTTTATTAAATCTGTGACTAAAGCTATCCCGTAGCTTTTTATTACATCCGTGACCAAAGCTATCCCATAGCTGTTTATTACATCTATTACTAAAGCTATCCCGTAGCTGTTTATTACAGCTGTGACAAAAGCTATCCCGTAGCTGTTTATTACATCCGTGACCACAGCTATCCCATAGCTGTTTATTACATGTGACTAAAGCTATCCCGTAGCTGTTTATTACAGCTGTGACAAAAGCTATCCCGTAGCTGTTTATTACAGCTGTGACAAAAGCTATCCCGTAGCTGTTTATTACATCTGTGACTAAAGCTATCCCGTAGCTTTTTATTACATCCGTGACCAAAGCTATCCTGTAGCTGTTTATTACATCTGTGACCAAAGCTATCCCGTAGCTGTTTATTACATCCGTGACCAAAGCTTTCCCATAGCTGTTTATTACATGTGACTAAAGCTATCCCATAGCTGTTTATTACATCTATGACTAAAGCTATCCCGTAGCTGTTTATTACATCCGTGACCAAAGCTATCCTGTAGCTGTTTATTACATCCGTGACTAAAGCTATCCTGTAGCTGTCTATTACAACTGTGACTAAATCTATCCTGTAGCTGTCTATTACATCCGTGACCAAAGCTATCCCATAGCTGTCTATTACATCTGTGACTAAAGCTATCCCGTAGCTGTTTATTACATCTGTGACAAAAGCTAACCCGTAGCTGTTTATTACATCCGTGACTAAAGCTATCCTGTAGCTGTCTATTACAACTGTGACTAAAGCTATCCTGTAGCTGTCTATTACATCCGTGACCAAAGCTATCCCATAGCTGTCTATTACATCTGTGACTAAAGCTATCCCGTAGCTGTTTATTACATCCGTGACCAAAGCTATCCCATAGCTGTTTATTACATCTGTGACTAAAGCTATCCTGTAGCTGTTTATATCATCTGTGACAAAAGCTATCCCGTAGCTGTTTATTACATCTGTGCCTAAAGCTATCCCATAGCTGTCTATTACATCTGTGACTAGAGCT